TGGAGCTGGTTGGACAACACGGAAAAAGAGCATCGAGTTTTCTGTAGTATTCTCACATTTTGCTTCTTTCCTTGGCCAAATTCCGGGTTTCCATGAAAAATGTCCATTGGCGTTTTGAAAGGAGAAAAATTTCAACCAGCTGCAAAATTCAGTCCCAAAGCAGGGGGGAACTTGCAAACTTGGCCTTTCTTTCAGCTGCCTTTGAATCTCAAACATTTTGCCCCAGCTGAATACCGGGAAAAGGTCTGTTAAAAAAAAACACTGACGCAAAACGTGTGTGGTCGTTTTGGTCCTTCCCGCATGGGGACGAGGCATCCACCTCCTGGAGCAGCTGGTCCCGGCGTGGCGTTTCTCAGCGCACGCCTGAGCTCAGCCAGCTGCTGCACGGGGTGGGCGAGATCTGTGCTCTAGGAAACGGGAGTGCACCAGAGCATGCCGAAGTCTTTTCAGATCCTTTGCTGAATTAATATTTTTTTCCTTGAAGAGCTGTTTTGGAAAACGTACGCCTTCATTGTGGCAAGGTGGGGTTGCGCTGCAGCACCTCTTGCGCTTGCAAAGCCTATGGCTGCTGGCCGTGGCCACCAGGACTGTGCAGCATCCCCTGCTGCCACTCAAGTCCCCCTGCCTCCGTGTCACCCACAGGCTCTGGCAGCATCCCGCGGTGACAAGCACTCTCCACCACCAAGGGGGTGGCCGGAGCTGGGTGGGTGCGGGCGGACGTGGAAGTGCCCCAGCACAGCTTCAGCCTGCCAGAGCTTGCACCAACCAGCCTCCCGTTGCATCAGCATGGGCGGGAAGGCAACTCCTTGCTTGACTGCTAATTATCCCTTTTTTTTCCCCTTTAAATTAGCTTTGAAAGCAGTTAAGCCTACTGGAAATTTGGCTTGATTGCTCTTTCTTTTAACTCTGGCTTTGTTTAAATGTTAGTGTTATGAACAGCAATGAAATAATTACATAAGCCATTAATGATTATATAAAAACAATACCTAAATAACATAAACAGCAAGTAATATCACTAATGTTCCTGTTTTTTTCAGTTACAGCTCTCGGAGAGTCGTGATGGGAAGGTGGAAGAGTTTTTCCAGCTATTTAACCTCCGTGGCTGCAAAGCCCTGAAGGTTTTGGGTAACTCCAGATGCTTGAGCTGCCAGAGAAGTGGAGGTGGGTGGGGACCTGGGGAGAGCCCCCCACTTGCCTGATGAGTCCAATGCGTCGAAAGAAGCCGGCTGGAGGCTGGTGACCCAGTCTTGGTGAGGTGGAAGAGCTCTCTGGGGTTTGCCGTCCCCATTGTGCCCAGCTGGGTGGACAACCGCAGAGCCAAGCCTGGCGACCACAATGGGCTGGTCCCATGGCACACCCCGAGCCCACTCACGTCCGGGTACAAAGCTGTGGGGAAGTTCCTGCAGCGCTCGTGAAACTCTGTGGGTCAGCACAGCCCCGACCCGCAGAGCTGGGGGTGATGGGACAGAGATACCCCTTGGCAAAGCCCCCCGGCTTCCCAGCCCACATGCAAACTGCATGTGCATGCAAAGAAGACACAGAATTAGGTGGCTGGTACTTATTAGACTCATGTTATTAAAAATAATAAGAAAATAATAATAAAACCCCCAAACGTACATATATATGTTACACTATGGTCCATAACATTCGCTGGCTTTTCTTTTTAGATATTTCACAGATGACGTCACATTGCAGGGCCTGGGTCCCTCCACACAGGCACCCTCGGGATGGTATTTACACGACACACGCCTCAGCAGCCAGGCCCAGGGCACCCCAAGAAGCACAGCAGAGCCCATCCCCAAATCTGCACAGGGTGACTCGCAAAGGATCCCACCAGCATCCTGGATCTGCCCTGTCCAGTCATACATTTAAATTATAAAGCAAACAGAAAAAGAAGATAAAAAGGCACGTGGACGTGTGTGGGGATTTAAATATGCGTCTGGCAGCAGCTCTGTGTCTAAATCCCCTGGGCAACATTGCTTCTCCCCAAAAACCCACAGCAGCCCCTGGTTTTGCAGCCCTCCCCCAAACCGTGCCTGCAGTAGTGTCTGTGCCGAGCCCTGCCCCGAGCTGCAGGGCAGGACAAGCAGCATCTCCATGCAACCCCGTGGTGCCTCCACCACTGCGCTTGGCACCCCAGCACCAACTCCAGGGGACCCAGCCCCAGTGTCCCAGGGACAGCTGAACCCGCGTGCGGGGGTTTCCAGCTAGCCGTGCCAGGCAGAGGGAGAGGAAGAAGAAAGATAAATTCTTGCTTTGGCTTTGGGGTGACAGAAGCAGGGGAAGTCAGGAAAACATCTTCCAGGCAGCAGTCTTAGTGAAGGTGCAGAGTGGCCTGCTCCAGTTCTTCGGCCAGGATTTTAGGACATCCCCCAGCCAAAGCAGGAGAGCTCCTCTCCTCAGCGGCAGCCCATGGGGTATGTGGTGGTCCTGCCCCGGTGTCTCTGATCTGCCCCAGCAGGACACAGATGTGTACTGGGACACCAGCTGGGAGCCATCCCTCCTCGTCAGCAGTCCCGGCTGGCAGAGCTGAAACAAGAGGGACGAGCCGGCTGGGAGGATAAATCGAGAACTTCAACCACCAACACCAAAGTCCTCAAAGAGTTTTAGGTGCCCCGCTTCAAGGGAGGAGAAATCAGGTGCCAGAGGAAACCCTGGAGCCTCCTGCCCCAGCAGGCTGTGCAGAGAGCTTTTTGGGGAGCACAGACACATCGTGCCTCTCCTGAAGGCTGTACTTGCTCGGAGAAAGCACATGCCTTCTGCAGCCCTGCCCTGATGAGCATCCATGCCCATGGAGCAGTGGTGCCGCCCTGCTCTTTCATGGGCTGTGGTCACTGAGAAGAGGGGCCAGCAAGCCCCTGCACCCCATGGGGTGATGCCAAGCAGCCCCTGGGGCTGTGGGGATGACCCCGATGGGAGTCCTGGCCATGCACAATCAAAGGGTGTTTCACCACTGACGCCCGTGTGAGGACTGTTGGGTGCACGGGGTTGGAGTGAGCCTGGGGCAAGGGCAGCAGCTCTGCTTCCAGGGCTCCTGGGTGTAAGCAGCCATGGGAGGAAGAGGAGGGCTGGATGGCCCACGTACTTCAAGGGCCATCTTGCGGCAGAGGTCGATAGCCTATGACAACCAGAACAAGAAGAACCAGGGATGGGAGGGTCCCCTCAGCTCAGGTAGAGGAGGGAAGGGGGGGGTCTATGTCAGGAGTGTGGCATAGGACCAACTCATCCAAAGTCCCACATACCCTTTGCCTCTCGGCTTCTGGCCTCCTCCCCAGCTCTGCCCATGCCCTGTGTAGGCACCCCAGCATCCATGGGACCTGAAAGATGGTACTGCAGGCCCCCCGCATCTCTGAAAAGCCACTTCCAGCATCTCCAGCAGCTTCACCAATGCACTGAGCTCCCCGACTAGGGCACCTGCATGTCCACACAGACATCCCCCAGTGCCTAGATCCTCACTCCCCAAACTCCCCTGTCCTGAACCCCGACAGTGCTCCACCAGTCTCTTCAGCTGCAGGCTCCAGCACCACCCTGGGATGCTGGAGCCCAGAAGCACCAGACCACCCATGGGATGGGGAGTCCACGCAAGCTGCTGTGGGCTCAAAAGGGCAAAGCATCATCTTAAAGCACTGGAAGACTGCGATGTAGGCTACAATACCTCGCTGAGCCATTCAATAAGCAAGGCAAGGTTTGTAGGGAAAGGAATATCTATTATCAGATCACCTATTATTTCTACTCATATTTATTATGCCAAGACCGCTACAACCTCAACATGGGAAGATACTGATGTCTGTTTGAACTGGAGACTAATACGTGGTGAAGAAGAAATAAAAGACTAGAGGTGGGTCAATGAAAGGTCTTCTCTCTTCCTGCCACCTCTGCCTTGTGCATCTCCTCAGACAACCTTGACCACAGCAATACTTCCCAGGAGAGCACACAGTCAGGCCAGCTCTGAGGGATGTACACCAAGGCAGATGGTCACTTGGTGTCAGCTCAGCAGAAACGGGTGGAATTACGTCAGTTGGTACCAGCTGAGAATATAGGGACATAGACCTGGGTCAATGAACGATGATACACAATAGCTCTGGTCAGCCTGTCCACTCCACCCCAGGTCCTGCTAGCAGGGCAGGCTATAGCCTTGGTGGACATGGGAGCGGAAAATGGGTGTCTCCAGGTCTTTCCCACTGGGTCGCCTGGACTATGCACCAGGATAGGTAATGGCCAAGGGGTTGCGAAGTCTGCCCCTTTCTCCCTGGTGGACACAGCTCTGCCACCAACCTGCTGCCAGGACCTGACTCCTCCCCACGGCACTGCAGCATCGCATGGGTCCTGTCCCAGGCGGCAGCACTGGTCCGTGTAAACCCGAGGTCACCAGAGAATCAGGCCTTGCAAAAATTCATTTGTTCTTCCCGGTGGAGCTCCTAGGGCTGGTCCCTCTGCAGCATTGGATGGTTTCCACTCAGCCTGCCCGTACACACATTGGGATGAAGGACAGAAGACTCCGACCTCCATTCCTACTGGGCAAGGAGAAGGGCAGAGAGAGGTCTAACAACAGCGCATTTTCAGAGAGGGAGGAAGAGGCAGGCCCTGGATGCTGGAGAAGGGAGAGCTGTCAACTCAGACATCAACACTGGGCAGAAGAAGACTTTGTTCAAGGGAAAGGCCGAGAAAATGAGCGCTACGAACAGCATGCCCGGAGCAAGACACCAATCCCCTTCAAACTCCTTCAGGCGACAGGCACCCACGGGATCCCGCTCTGCTTTGCTCCTCATTAAAGGTTTGTCATTACTGTGTTATTTTTAATACATACATAGAGAAAAAGACCCACACGCACATCCATGCGTGCACACGCACACACAAAGGGAAACCATTGCCAAAATATACACTATAGACAGAAGAGTCCGTTCACACTATATATATGTACAGAGTCTCTGGGCGCAGTCTGGCAGCACACAGCCGGGCTGGGGCTGAGCACGGGGTGGGACGGGATGGGTGGAAACCCTTCAGGGCTTCACACACTTCCCCTTCTTCTCCCGCCGTTGCAGTTTCCGAAGGCGACGCGTCCAGGCGTCCCGCCACTGGATGACCAGACTGTTCTTGTCGGCCATCAGTCCCGGCCGGTCGGTGGAGTTTTCGCTGATCCCCATGACCAAGTACTTCTTGCTGATCTGGATCTTGGGGCACTTGCAGGACAGGTCTTTCAGGTGGATCCACAAGAAGTTGTCGCCGCGCTTGACCCGCTCGTCACGGCACTTGTAGACGGAGAGGATGTTGATGGTGAACTTGGCCCAGTTGGCCACTGTCTCCATTTCCAGGATGTTCACCTGGACCACTGAGGGAAAAGAGGGGGAGACACGGTGACGGGGGATGCTTTGACTTGCTCCCCAAAGGAAGCTTTGGCGACGGGAACTGCCTGTCCCCAGCAGCCCCACCTGCCTCATCCATCGCACCTTTGGGAGGGCTGATTCGGGGACGCCTCTCTGCACTGGGTGCTCCCCATCCCCTGGGACATCTGCATCTCCCCCACCCATGGCCAACCTGTGGCTGGCCCTCAGCTGCCTCTGCGGCAAAGCCCAGCGTGCCACAGGGAGGGAGGTCCTTACCGTAGTCCTTCTTGCAGTACTTCTTCATGTTAATCTTGTAGTTGCCCTTGGCTGGCTTGCAGTAGGAATCACAGTCTGCGGAGGAAGAACAGAGGGTTGAGCACTGAGGGGCTTGAAGCACGTGGGGTCCCGTCCCACCGCAAGGGAAGGGGGAACGGGGTGGAGAGGACAGCAGCAAGACCCAGCCTGGCAGAGGGTGGTGGGTACTCCACGTCCCAGTGCCCTCCAGAAGGCTCCTGAGCCAGGACCTGGGCTGCTGCTGGGGATGGGGGTCTGGCAAGCCCAGCTGCCCCCCTGGCAGCTCTCAGGGGCTGGGGGCTCAAACCCCGGAATGAACACTGACACCACATCAGCTGGGAAGAGAAACCAGGTAGCTTTGGGCCCACCAGGCAGGCTGTGTCCCCTCCTGTGCTGACAGTGACAGTGTCCTGCAGGATAAATCAGCACAGGGGCAGTGGAGGGAGCCTAGGGACCCTCCTCCGGGATGCAGAAGGGGATGGATGGGAGAAATGCAGGTGAGGTGGCGATGGCCACCAGGGAGAGCAGGCAAGGGCCATGGCCAAGGAGACTCAACCAGGACAGCTGTGGCCCTGCAAACCTGGGCGACGTGGGGAAAAGAGGACTCGGCACCAACCCCACCATCAGCCCTGCAGGGAGGGGACCCAAAGGAAAGTCTGACCGCATACCAAGGGGGTCGTGATCCTCAGGGGCGACTCAGCCCTCAGGGGCCAAGGTGGTGGGAAACATCCTCATGGGGCAGCACCTCCAGAGACTTGCGCCTCATTTGTGTCCCAAAAGTGGGGAAAGGGACTCAGGCCGGGGGAAGCAGGCGGGTGAGGGAAGCGGTTCCGCTCCACCAGGTCGCTCCTGCTGCCCAAGCATCCCAGGCTCAGGCTGCTCCAGCACAGCCAGGGAGGCCACCAGGCCGTCCTCCACCCCACACAGCATCCCTCCCTGCTGTCCCCCAGCTCCAGGCAAGGCTCATGTCCTCAAGGAGGCTTTTTTTCTGTGCATTTCTAAAGACCCCAGATTTGCATCTCAAGCAGAGAGAGGGCAGGGAATGCCTCTTTCCTTCTCCCCAAAGGCTTTGATCCCAACAATTGCCTGAAGCAGTCCTGTTCTCGTCCTTTCTTTCCCCCTGCCATCTTCCTTTGAACATCTCAATTTGTCTCTTTCCAAATGGCATGTTTTTTCTAAGCCCATCTTTCTTCTTTTCTCTCCCTCTCACAGGTTCTCTCTCTGGCTTGGCCCCACGTCCCGGGACAGAGCCAGCAGTCCCTGAAGTTGTCTTTGTTTGCAGGTTGCCACAGCGATCACTGGGGATGGAGGCGAGGGTCTGGGGGAAGACGGGGGAATAACAGCACCCTGTGCCAAGGAGAAGAGGAGAAAAGAGGAAAGAAAGACGCCCAGGAGCACAAACTCGCCCTGGGCTCTGCTGCTCTCCTTTCTGCCCGGCTCCTTTTTATCTGGGACTTTGTGCCGCCTGTTCCAAATTTGTCATCGATAGAAGCGGCGCAGCACGAAGCTAATTCTTGGCAGAGGGGGGTAAGCCCTGATTCTCGGCTCAGCCCCCCCCGCACTGCCCCTCCGCCTGGACTGGCAGAGCTGCCCTGGCCCCGCTGCATTGCCTGGGACAGCAGTGGTGGCTGCGGAGGGGGCGCAGGGCCTCTCCGTGTGGGGCGGCTGCTGAGTGCACTGAAGATCTCAGCTGTGACACTGAAGGTTGCCCCCATCTGCTGCATCCTCTGGGACACGCTACAGCCCCATCCCAGACACCGCTGCATCCCCTGGGACGTGCTACAGGCACATCCCTGACACACTGCTCCGTCCTTTCCTGCTATGTGAAGGGGACTCTAAAAGGGAGCTCCTGCCTTATTTTGGGGAGTGCCTGGCAGGACGGATGATCTTTTCCTCCCCAAGCAGAGTGGAGGAGGCTGTCGTTTGCCCAAGCAACCGTCCTGACATGTGGGCGCCACCAGACACTTTTTGGGGATGGGTGCAGGGCATGCCCCTCCATGCTTGCTGCAGGGTCCAGCTCGGGTCCCGGCCCTGTGTGAGCCTTCGGTGAAGATGCAGGATTGTATGGGTTTGCGGTGCCCCCACCACTGGAGCCGGAGCTGGGAGCCGTGCCACCGCAGCAGTTTGCCAGCGCCATGCCATGCAGGGCCAGGCAGCGAGAGAAGGCGTCCGAGGGGTGCAGAAACCATCCTACAGCCGGCATCGGTCGCAGCTCCGCCATGGGCTTGCCCAGACACTGGATGCCGTAGTGGAGGAGGGTGGCACAAAACAGGGTGTCCGGCAGGAGGATGCCCAGGGTGGCTGCCACATGGTGCCGAGGCCACACAGGTGCTGAGCCCACGGGCGGTTGGGTGATGGGTGGTGGGACCGGGCTGCAGGGCGGCCTTGGCCAACCTGCCACCCCCCTCGCTCAGCAGTGGGGAAGAAAGAAAAGGAAGAAAAGCAGAAAGAAAACCAGTAACTGCCCTGGGCTCCTGCTCGTGATTAACATCATAAAACTGTGATTCAAAAGAGCCAGAAAATAGTGTTGGGAATTAACAATTTGGGATTAGTCTGGGGATTTTTTTATCCTCGGCTTTGTGCTGAGGAACATTCCTCAAATATAAAATCAATTCCTGTTCAATTTATGTAAGAAACTTGGGAAGAAAAAAAAAAAGACCAAGTAACTCGAAGCATTTCCCTTCCTTGCCTTTGAGCACACGGCCTCCATCATCGCGCGTGGGGCGGGTGTGGGTGCTGTGGCTGGGGAAGTGACCAGGTGGGTGCTGGGGCTGCCGCCCAGCTCAGTCCCCGGGGGGGCGGCTGGGTCCTGCCCGCACCTCCACAAACCTCCTCTCCCTGGACACCCCATCCTGTCCCCACAGGGTCCCCCCATGGCAGGGCTCTACTCGGGGCCTCACGCCCGTGCCTCTCACCAGGACATGGCTATGGACCGCGGCTCCATCCTCCCATGCCTGCTGGGATGCCACGTGGTGGTGCTGGGGAACGGGTGGCAGCTCTTCCCTCAGGCAGGCCCCAGGGAGCCCAGCAGCAGCTCTGTCTGCCCTGCCAGCCCAGCTGAGGCAGCACACTCTCTGTCCACCCCATAAAACCATCAGGAGAAGCTGGATGGCCATTGGAGAAGCCGCTTCATGAGTGCCTCTCCCCTGGCAGCTCCCAGAGCATCCCCCACTTCCCAGCTCCTTTTTAAACTTCCCGGACGTGGCATTACACATGCTGCAGGGGAGTGGAAAGAAGATCAAGTTTAGCCTCTGCCTGCAGCCACCCTCCTGCCCACCCTCCTGCTGTGTCCGTGCAGCCTGATGGGGCAGCCAAGCCCCGTGGAGGGGCTGGGGGATGGCAGAGACCTGCTGCAGCCCGAGGCTGTGAAAGTGTACCCACAAACCCTGAGATGCTGCTGCATCCCCTGGGATATGCTACAGCCCCATCCCAGACACTGCTGCATCCCTGGGATACACCACATCCCTGTCCCGGACACTGCTGCATCCCTGGGATACACTATAGCCCCATCCCAGACATCACTGCATCCCCGGGATGTGCTACAGCCCCATGCCAGATACTGCTGCATCCCTGGGATACACTACGGATCCGTCTCAGACACACTGCTCTGCCCTTTCCTGCTACGTGAAGGGGACTCTAAAAGGGCCCTCCTGCCCTGTGCCACAGCTCGGTCCTGTTTGTGTCCCGGGGAGATCTCAGCCCCTCCACCCCACGGGACCCTCCATGGACACTGGGGGTGATGACTGCCGCAGGCATGTGCCCACTGAACTGCTGCCTGCTGATGCTGGTCTGGCACCAGCGCAGGGTGCAGGCAGCAGCACCCCATGCATGGGCAACGCCTTGGCTGCTGGCAGTGAGGAGCTGGCACACGGGAGGGACGGACAGAGCGGGGCAAGCACCGGGCGATGCCGCACGGACGTGGGAGGAGGTGGATGGCGACTGGCGAGCCCAGTGTGGGCATCCCCGGTCTCCGTGGGGAGAGCATGTGTGAGAGGCGGCAAGTCTGCACATCTGGTTTACTTCTCCTTGCCTTGAAAAAAAGAAGGAATATTTTGTTTTAAGAGAGATGTAACTTAATTAGGTGTTATGGCTGCAAATCTTTTACTGCTGACTTTGAATTCCTTTAAAGCCCTGTTTTGCGCTCTACGAGTTTTGTTACCCTGGGATAACCACACCCCTGTCCCGGACACCGCTGCATCCCTGGGATACACCACATCCCTGTCCTGGACACTGCTGCATCCCTGGGATACACTATAGCCCCATCCCAGACATCACTGCATCCCCGGGATGTGCTACAGCCCCATGCCAGATACTGCTGCATCCCTGGGATACACTACGGATCCGTCTCAGACACACTGCTCTGCCCTTTCCTGCTACGTGAAGGGGACTCTAAAAGGGCCCTCCTGCCCTGTGCCACAGCTCGGTGGACACTGCTGCATCCCTGGGATACACTATAGCCCCATCCCAGACATCACTGCATCCCCGGGATGTGCTACAGCCCCATGCCAGATACTGCTGCATCCCTGGGATACACTACGGATCCGTCTCAGACACACTGCTCTGCCCTTTCCTGCTACGTGAAGGGGACTCTAAAAGGGCCCTCCTGCCCTGTGCCACAGCTCGGTCCTGTTTGTGTCCCGGGGAGATCTCAGCCCCTCCACCCCACGGGACCCTCCATGGACACTGGGGGTGATGACTGCCGCAGGCATGTGCCCACTGAACTGCTGCCTGCTGATGCCGGTCTGGCACCAGCGCAGGGTGCAGGCAGCAGCACCCCATGCATGGGCAACGCCTTGGCTGCTGGCAGTGAGGAGCTGGCACACGGGAGGGACGGACAGAGCGGGGCAAGCACCGGGCGATGCCGCACGGACGTGGGAGGAGGTGGATGGCGACTGGCGAGCCCAGTGTGGGCATCCCCGGTCTCCGTGGGGAGAGCATGTGTGAGAGGCGGCAAGTCTGCACATCTGGTTTACTTCTCCTTGCCTTGAAAAAAAGAAGGAATATTTTGTTTTAAGAGAGATGTAACTTAATTAGGTGTTATGGCTGCAAATCTTTTACTGCTGACTTTGAATTCCTTTAAAGCCCTGTTTTGCGCTCTACGAGTTTTGTTAATTCTGCTAATGGGGAACAAGGATTTTTTTTTTTTTCCCCACTAACTGGAAAATATTTTAAGATAATAATAATAAAAATTATGAGAAGTGGACCCAGGACATTTCACTGCTGAGCGAGTCGGCTGCTTGGGCAGAGAGATCAAAGCTGGACCCCAAAGGCTCCGGGGGGCGGGGAAGGAGAGAAAGCTGGGAAGAGCGATGCAGAGGATGGCAACATCAGCGAAAAGCCTGGATGCACCCAGGGACAGGACCCCAGCAGGGAGGAGCATGGGGAGAGGGGGGAAAACCCAGCACCTGAGCACAGCGGCCCCAAACAATGTCCCCCTGTTCCTGCAGTCTGGCACCTGCTGCCAGAGGCAGGGAGGGAGGTGGGGAAATGGGGGGAGAAGGGGCTCGGAGGCTGCCTGGGGTGGGAGGACTATGGGGCGTTGAGGGACTGAGTGCCCTGCTCACGGGGGGGGGCCTGGGGGCTCCTGGGGCAGAGGGATGCAGGCAGAGGGGCATCAGGGTGCAGGCAGCAGGCGGGGTGCGCCGCTGCGGCCAGCCCTGCCCGCAGCACAAGCACGCTGGAGGCAGGGCGCCCCAGGCAGAGTTGGGCAAGGCTCCTGCCCATCCCCACCTCTGATCCCCCCCCAGCAAAGGGGGCAGCGGGACCCCAACCGGGTCCCCTGCTCCCCCGGCGCAGACTCTGGGCAGAGGCTAGCTACTTTGCATTAAAGATATTTGAGCTAGAAGCCAGAAATCTTAAAACAACAAACCCACAGATAAAACTAGAGGCAGTTTAAGGCAGACCTGCTCCACTAAAACAAAGTAAACACCCGGGTCTCCAGCGAGTGCCATTTATTTTTACGCAGCTGAAAATATCAGACATCACTCTAAGACTGTTCCTATTTATAAAGCACTGGAGGGGAGTCACCTTGATTAACTCTGCTCCATGTGTCACTCTCTGTTTGCAATAAAACCGTCCAAATCCCCCTTTTCCCTCCCCTTTTTTCCTTTTCACAAAGCCTGGCGTTCCCAGCTCCCTCCCTCACAGCAGGCAGGACAGGCAGGGCAAGCAGGGCAGGCAGGAGTAGAGGTGGTGGTGCTCTGCCCTGTCCCGCGCAGCCTCCCCAGCAGTGTTACCGTCACAGACAGCTCAGCTCTTATGGTCATCCCATCGTGCAAGACATGCACCCCACCAAGGACTGGCTCTCCTTCGCTGCCACAGCGTGGAGCGAAACCTCTGCCAGATCCACGCAGGGCTGCTCGACTCACATCCCGATAACACATCCCGCTTCCCGGAGCCTCTGCGGAGCAGGGCCGGGAGGGCTGAAACGTGCCCGTGGGCGCTGGGTGGGCGCCGGGCTGTGCAGCACTCCCAGCCTCTGCATCAGTATATGTGATCTGCGTCCGTATGGGGGCCAGCACCGCTCTGCTCTGTGAGGAGCTGAGCTACCAGCCTCCTCCCACACGTCTTGCCCCTCCACCCCCATCCGCACGCTTTACTCCTTCCATAGCTCCGTACCTTTGACACCCCTTGTTCCAGTCCCCCTCCTACGGCCACCGAGTGCATGCATGCGGCTGCAGGTGCCATGCTGGAAGATGTTCCCAAAAGGCTGAGGAGCACATCACAGGCATGCACCAGCCTGGGAAGGGGCTGTTGGTATTTTCCACCCCCAAGGTGGGGTGGCTGTGGGAAGGAGAGCTGGGGAGAAGGATGCACACAGGGCACCGGGTCTCCAAGGAGTGTGCAGGCTCCCCTGGGATGGACATACCCTGAACAGGGCATGGGGAAGCTCCTCATTAAATATGGGCATGGGGAGCTGGAGGTGCCCCTGCTCTCTTCCCAGGACCACGTGCCATGGGGTAGAGTGGAGGATGGTGCAGGATGTCTATTGCCCCACGGTGACATGCGGGAGAAGACCAAGGGCTTGGGGACTGCAGGGTGAAGGGTGGCCCGAGGGGGAAAAGGGCTGCTTCTTTCCCTAGCTTCTCCCCCTCAACCTGGTTTGGGATCCCTACAAAGGGACAGACAGTGGGATGGCTAGGAACAGCCATGCTAGGGTGCCGATGGGACTGCGGAAGGAGATGGGGGAGACAAAAGCCCTGCTATGGCCCCCTCAGACACACAGCCATGTGTGCCTCTGAAGAGCTGGCATCAGCACAGCCCATCCGCTCCCACCGCTGGTGACCACCATTGTAGGGCACAGAGGTGCCAGGAAGATAGATGAGACAGCAGAGCCTGGCTGATGGAAGAGGGGTGGTGATCGGGGAGGAGATGCAAAGCAGCTGTTTTACCTGTCTGCCATGGCATCTGCCAGGCCATGCTCTGCAGCGCCGGGGAGGGCTGAGCATGGCAGCAGCGGCATAGGGTCCAGAGGCTGGCACACCACTGTGTGGTGCTGTCGGTATGTGCCGTGCCAAGGTGAGAGCTGAGGGCACCTCGGTGGGGCCCTGGCAGCCGTGGCTGGGCTGGAAGAGGGACCATAACCCACCAGTGCAGGCAGCATCCATGCACCCACCAGTGCCCAGCCCCAGCCGAGCTTCTGCAAGAACGTGAGCAAACCTGCAGCATGCGTGGAGACATGAGCCTTGCTGCTCCAGCCTGGGGAAGCCGGGGCGGCTCTTGAGGAGTTCTAAAGACAGCAGCAGAAATGCCTCCCTCACCCGTGCAAAGCCTGCAGCCTGCCGCTGGAGCTGCCCCCCTCTCCCACTGGGTGACAGCAGCAGTGACATCGATCCTCCCATGGTCCTGTGGTCCCATCACTCCATGGTCCCATCAGCCCGCAGAGCTGGGACAAGCAGCTCAGACCCAGACACTTCACTCCTCCGGACCCGGATGGGGCAAGGCCCATGTCACCCATGTCCCAGGGCAGACCTGGCAGCCCACGCGCCAGAACGGGGGCTCCTGAGTCTGCCTGCAGCTGGCAGCCTGACGGACCCCCACCGCCCTGGTGCTGCTCAGAGAGCCAAGGCCCTGTGGAGGTAAAAGGCACCAAGGAGAAACCTCTTGCACTGGCACCGATAAAAGGAGATTAAAAAAAGCCAGACCCCAAGCACGCACTGAGCCGTAGGTGCCATACGCCACAACCCCTGCCATAACCTGCTGAGGAGCGGTGAGGCTCTGGCAGGCTGCATCCCTGCTTTCCTCCTCCACGGGGACGGAGAAACCTTTTCCCCAAGAAAGCCCTGTCAAGCTTTGTCGGTCTCTTTCCAGAAATACATAGGATTTCAAATCTCAGTCATTTTTTTGGCCAAAATTGTCCGCCAAAATTGTTCACCATTAATCTTTTTGCCAAAGGGTTTGGCAGGGCTCAGCCCTTCTCCCTGGTCTGCTGGGGAGAGGGGAGGTGGGATGGGATGTCTCTGGGCAGGGCTGGGGCCGTGGGCTCGGCCCGGGATGCAGAGAACTTACCTGCAGGCGCCTCCGTGCTGGTGACCAGGGAGGTGGGGTTGATGGCAGGGATCTCTGGAAGAGAAAGGGAGAGATGTCTTAAGGAAAGGGGTCTCCAGCTCTGGGGGTGACACCCAGACAAAAGCCCTCCACAAGCGGGGTGCAGAGGGGATTTTGTGGGTCACCTCTGGCAGCTCGCTAAGAAAGATGGATGGGATGAGTCTGAGATGAGACCTGAATATCGCAGGCCATTAAATAGACCCAGAGATGCCCAATTTGAGCTCAATAAATTGGGACAGGCTGAGACGCTGCAACCCCCAAGTGCCATAAGTCACTGCTGCAGAGGACACGTGCTCCAGGGACGGACAGATGAACAGATGCTCGACTGATCTGAGCGTGCTCCGCGCTGCACAGCACAGGGATAAGTGTGGGCAAAGACAACACTTTCTTGGGACTCCTGGCAACAAAACCTGAGGGAAATTCTGTCCTAACCCCAAATCTGGGGAACAACAGAGGGAAAGGAGCCAGCCCCACCAGCTCACCCCCACTGCCACCACTCCAGCAGCGCCAGCAGATTCTGCAGGGCGGCAAGTTGTTCCTCTGCTGCTTGGGTCAAATTCAGACCCACTGCAACAATAAACACAGTTTGTTGCTGACCACAGGATCTGGCCTTGCCCCAGACCTGACCATGCTCAGGGCTCAGCTGGGTGAGGAAGGCAACTTGCTGCAGCTGAAGACATGTCCCAGCAGAGCTGTTTCAGGCGGCTGGAAGCACTAACCCAAGGGGTCTTTCAGAGCCTCCCGGGCTGGGAGGGGCAAAGCATGGGTGCCCGCAGAAGGTGATCCAACCATCATGCCTTAACCACCTCCTGGAGCACAACCCCGTGGATGGGCGGTCCCTCGGCTCAGCCTCCCACCCACCGCAAGCCAGCCCAAGGAGAGCATCCCCTGGCGCTGGCGGGGGTCCCTGAGGGAGGGGAGGGCAGGGCACAGTGGCACTCACTGATGCAGGGGGCCACCGGCGAGCGGCTCTGCTGGTAGCCCTTGGCACAGCGGTTGCAGGTGAGGCCAGTCACGCCGTCCTTGCACGGGCACTGCCCCGTCGTCTGGTTGCAGGTCTTGCCGGCTGCGCCGACAGGGTGGCAGTCGCAGGCTGGATGGGAGGGAGAGAAAAGGTTACATGAGAAGTGATGCACAATGCAAATCCCAAACTGAACCCAAAGTGCCACCCTGAGAGAGGCGAGGAGAAGGTGGGTCTTTCCAGTGCACTGGTGGAAAGCAGCTGCTGGGGCCAGCACAGCCAAGACCCGTGGGTCCAGACCGTGGCCCCATGTGTGCTATGAGCAGCATGGGCAGGAGGGCGAGCTGACGAAGGGCTTGGCCAGGGTACGGCCTCCGCTGATGGGGATGCTCAGGATGAGCCCCTGGAGACCCCACAGCTCACACGGTCACCTATAGCTGCCAGCTGGCATTTAAGGTCTGGACACCAGTAGGACAGTTTCTTCCTGCTCGCTTTGCAGGCTTGTCCGGCCGGTTCTGGGGACAGCCGGGCGTGCGTGCAGGCAGGAGGAGGGATTTCCATGGGCAGCCCCGTGCCTGCTGCCAGCCTTGTCCTGTGCAAGCAAAGGGAGTGGGGCTCACATGGGGCCATGCAAACCCTTGTTCATGGCCAGGGTGGGACTGAGGGCACTGCAGGGACAGAAAGTGGACAGGTACATGCCTGGGTCTGCTCTTTCCCCACCTCAACCCCGGGACGATGCTCCTGTCACAGCAGTAAAAGGCATTTTCTCCACTTGCTCCCCCACCTCTGAGCTTTCCAGTCCATGGAGCTGAACCAACACTGAGCTTTTACACAAACTTCCGCCTTGTTTTGGTTTTAGGATGGTCTGAAGTGGTTCTTCTTGATGCTTCCCAAGCTCATGAGCCTCAGTGCCCATCCTGCCTCCTGGAGACCCCAGCCAAAGGATGTCCCCATTGCTTGCCACCATAGCCTCCCCAGGGGAAGAGCCACACCTGAGGTGGGTGAAAGTTGGGCCTCCATCCCCAAGACAGACCCGAAGTGACTCTCCATCATGCAACACTGGATGATGGACCCACCAGGGGTTGCCTAGGAGGAGGGGTGCGGGAAGGAGATGCTCAGTCAGGAGAGGACCTTCCCATCTGCCTGCCCGGGGCTGGACTGGTTACAAGCTGGAGGAGGTTATCTCAGCCTCCATCAGTGTAAGAGTTGAACGTGATTCCAAAGCAAAACAAAAACATTCCCCCCTGCCTGCCCCCGCAGCCCCCCGATGTTATCGTTTCCCTAATTTTCACCAGATGGGACTGGTGGGAGCACCATGGCGCTGATCCTCGGGCCCCCTCCCGCATGGCCAGAAACCAGAGCAAGCAGCCTCTAATGGGGACCAGATGCTTCATCCTTATCAGATCTTGGCTGGGACTGGAAGCGGACGTCTTTCTGACAAAGATATTTTGGGGACTCAGCTGTGATAACAAATGGCAGCGAGTGAGGGAGTCTTGGCATGACGTAGGGCTGTCGGAAACGCGGGGTCTTTCTTCAGTCACAACAGGCTTGTCTCCTGCCAGGGCGGCTGGCTCTCCCTAGTGAGCCAGGCTTTCCCGGCTCTCCTGCAAACACCCACCATTCAGGTCATCGGGGAGCCCCAAAGGTCCTGAGATCATGGGATGGTCCAGCCCTGGACTGCGAGGACCAAAGCCATCAGTGATGGTCCAATGCTTGACCAGCCTCGGATGACCCATGGGAACAGCACCGCTGCTTCGCCTGGAGGATAACATTGGGCTTAACGCCCTCTCTTGAACCACCGTGCTCTGGGACATTTCAGCTGCTTCAGATGCATCTTGATGTTCTCCCTGTGCCTACTCCACAGGGCTCTTCTGCGTGGGCTCGGCTGGATCCTGCAGCACTTGGAGGAAGCAGGTGCCTTTGACTAGCTGGCAGGTACACCTCTTGGAAACCATCCATTGCTTTGTCTCTTTTCCACTAGCAAAGGCTTGGGTTTCTGTTAGTGGGGCTGGGCATGAATCATCACCCATCCTTATCACCACCCATGCTGGAAAGAGCAGCCCAGTGCTACCAGCATCACCCCAGTGCTGCCCTGAACGAGGGGCTCTCGTGCTACCGCTGGTGCTGGGAGTGCTCCCAGGACCACAGCACCCATCTCCAGCTGGAGAAGTCCAACTCACCCCAGAGCAGCTGGGCACAAGCCCTGCCAAACACCCGCTCGTCTGAGAGACCATGCAGGGAGACCTCAGAGGTCCCTGCAGCCATCACTCCTGCTCTGCATGCACAGCGATAGACAGTCCGTGCCCTAAAAAATTTATGGCCAAAGGCACGCTTCCAGCAAAGATTTATACAAGCGCTTAGCTTCACACGTTATGGATAATCTCTTAGGCCCCAGTGGTGTATTCCTTGTGTAAAGTCTAAGGATGGACATAAATCTCAGCACAATCAGGATCCAATTCATCTAAGCAAATCCCTCTTCATGCGGTGGAAGAAGGCTTTCAAAGACTCTTCATGTTTTACCTGGATCAGCAATTAAGGCAGTTTTGCTCATCTTACATCTGCAACAGATAGGTGTCTTTGGGAGATGAGCTTGGTCTCTGCCAGACCATCCTCTGGCCCCTCACCCCACTGTGGTGGGATTTCCTGCAGTCCCACGAAAATCCATTGCTCCTTCCCACTCCAATGGGAAGAGCATCCGAGGCAGCACTCAGAGCTTACCCCGACCAGTCCCATGTCTCAGCATGGCTGCATCCCACCACTCCAGCTGTAGCATCTCCATCCCTCCTCATCCCGACATGACCCACAGAGAGGGGCTGGCCAGAGCACCCCATCCTGGCACCAGGGAATGCAGGCGCCGGGGGCACAGCACAGCTCCATGCCCACTGCCCACACACCGAGCCCTGCTGCTCGCAGCCCTGCCAGTTGCCAGGATCTGGCCCACAGTGCTTGAACAGTGGATTAAGTCACTAGCTTGGAGCTTAACTCATCGAGCTGTGCTTGCCAGAAAGCATGTCTTGCACCTAATATTGAGGGTATTTTTGAGTCTTAAGGCTTAGCTGCTACTGCTTCACCAGTTTTCATTGGAGAAAGCTCACGGTTTACAGCTTTGTTTAAATTACAGGGATTAATGCACAGCCATTCTTTATTTGACTTTTCAATTACCACCATTGAATTAATCCTGTAGGTTGTTCTGCCTTTTCCATCCTCCCAGCTTTTCCGTCTCGCAGCGTCCAGCAGTGACGCGGCTGCTGGCGGGCTGGCGGCTGGAAGGAAGAGCTCGCCTCCCCGCTCGCCGGCTGGTGGCTGAGGGCTCCGCTCAGTTGCTGGCAGGAGATGCGGGCTTGTGCAAGCTGCAGTTGATATTTTTGTGCCTATTTCAAAGACGTTGCATCCTAGCAGAGACGAACCATGGTTGGATCGTTATTTAGTATAGTGCTTCGGGGTTTGTTTAAATAAAATGTAATAGTTCCTGGCCTCTGGGCTAGTATTTGACCTCCTGAATATGAACTGAGCTTCGTTGCTAGCGCCTGCAAAATCTGCCTTTGCTGGGATGCTCACCTTCTGCCCTGGACCAGTGCTGCGGTGGGTGCAAAGTCAGGTCACAGCAGCTTGCTCCATGCCTGCTTTTAAGGTCTGCTGTCACGAGCCTTGCTTTTTCTTTTCTTTTTTCTTGCAAGAGTGTAGGTATCTGAGCTGTAGGTACAGGACACGTCTTTGGAAAAACCAAGCCCCAAGCTGTCTTGTCACATCTCCGTGTATTTATATATCTCTCTGGCAGCACCAGCTCCCATTCATGGCACTGGGCAGGCAGGCTCCCAGGTGCCAGTCCTGCTCCAAGGAGCTCCCAATCCCAATGGATTCACCACTGGATAAGTACAAGAAAGGGATGGAAACACTCTCTACCCCCCCACCAAAGGAGGGGCAGCCAAAGAAGCAGAAGCATCAGGGATTTTATTATTAACTCAGTTCCCTGAGGCAGAGCCAGGAACTGGCTCCCAAGACCCAGGGTACCACCTTTACTGCCAGATCCTCCTTAACATATGCACCATAGCGGGGACAGCCCTTGTGCACATGTTCATCTGGCTGGGCTGAACCTTTGCAGCTTTTCCAAACCATGGGCAAACCCTGCCAGCCCTCCGGAAGCAGCACCCCCAGACCGGGCTGGCAGAGACCTGCCCGTGGCTTGGCACGGGGCCGGGCCGGGGAGGGAGGTTTGTCTGCGAGGGGGGACCTGCCACAGCACCCCACTCCTCCACAGGCCAGGCATCGCTCGCTGGCCTTTCTCCTGCACAGCGGCATCAGCCTTCGCCCTGAGCACCCCGGGATGCTCTTGCCCACCCCGTCCCCTCCAGAGGAGCCACCTTGAATCTGGGATGCTTTCCATCACCTTAATGCTCCACAATTACTGCCCTGTGAGGATGGTGGAGCAGGACTTGCCCTGGCAGACCGCAGGCTGCTGCCTGCATTAGGCAGGCGCAGGCAGACGGAGGCAGCCAGGGCCCCTCTCCTTCCTCCATCCTCAGCCCTGAAAACGGAGGGACCTGAGCCACGGCACGGGTAGGAAATGCTGCGCCCGCAGCGTCCCCAGTCCCGCAAACCCGTCCCCAGCTCCAACCCACATGTCGAGCTGGGCTGTATTCAGTTACCCTCCTCCCTGTTTCCAGCACCTAGCCAAATCTTGCTTGCTTTATTTATTATTGTTTTTTTGGTAAGTGCTCTCTTCCCTGGCTAGAGCAGAAACTGAGACCTCAATGCCCAGCACAGAGGTGGCACTGGGGATCCCGGGTCCCACAGGGAGGCGAACGCCTGCAAGGCTTCCACTGTGCTTGGGATTTTATCAGATGATTTTGGTAGCAAAAGTAGAAGGAGCTGGTGAACCAAAGGGGAAAAGAAACCCCTCGTTCAGGGAGGGGTGGGGAGGGTGCTGCCTGCAGAGGATGCGAGGCGAGGTGGAGGCGGCACAGCTCCACAGCACCCCACAAGCCCCGGTGCCAGTCAGGGTGAGCCGGGGCTGCCCGCGAGCCCTCAGCACTCGAGGAAAATACTCATGGAAAATGGGAATTTTGCTGCAGCTGCCTCAGTCCGGTGGTGCTGCAGCAGGAGCCGGGGGCTGCTGCCATCCCTCCCCGGCCTCACTCAGGGCCAGGACACCTCCCAGGAATGGGACACGACCCGGGATGCATGCCTTGTCCTGCCTCCTTCTTTTCCTCTCTCCCAGTGCCTCCCAGTGTCACCCCAAGGATGCTGGCCCCTGGCACCGCTTTGGGACCCGGCTGCCACCTGGCACAAGCCCCATCAATGGGAAACCCTTGCTGCTGCCGGGGGGCTGCCATGCCCATAGCCATAGCCGTGACATGGCTTGGCCAAGGCCATGAGGCTGGGAAGCAGCGTGTAGTCCCCCGGGAACATGGGCTGCTGAGGTGGGACCTGCCAAGTCAGCTGCTCAGGTTATTAAAAATGATTAGCTTGCCATTTGCTAACGAGCCGGCTGCGGGCAGGGCTCCCCCTGCCAGCGCCCACTCAGCTGTGCTCCCGCTGCCGCCATGGCGTCGGTCAAACATGGGAAGTTTCTCCCTTTGCTCTATCCTCTTGACCACTCCTGTGGGAACAAGGATGGAGAGAGGCAGGGGCGGCTTACGCAGCACGGGCAACGGAGGGATTTTACCATCCCAGACCCAAGTGAGCCGTACCTACAAACAACACTAATGCACCCGAGAGGGGAACCCCAAAAGCCACATCCTTCAATTCAGGTCTGTTGCCACAACATTAATGGTCTGAAACAAGCTTCAGCAGTTCCTGTAGGCCCTACATAAACATGCTAGCATCGTGTCCTTGCAGCAGCGAAGGTGCTCGGTGCCCACGCGGTTGCACTATGCACCGGAGGGAGACACCACGCTCCCTTCCAGGAGGTACTTGCAATCTAAGTTGGAGAAAAGGGGATCAGGGATGAATTCCCAAGCCTCAGAGCAGCTGTGGCCAACATCTTGCCCGCTCCAGTGTTTCAGCTTGGATCCCGCCAGTCCCTGGGGACGGGCAAGGTGTTTTCTTATCTCAACTTCTTTGGTGAAACTATTGTTTTGAGGCTTCACAGAGGAAAAAGGCTCTGCAGAGGGGGCTGAGCAGGGCGAGATAAGAGAAACCAGATGGGCTTGGCCAGGAGCTAGAGGAGGGAGAGGAGAGGTACAGGTCCCATGACATTTGGCACAGGCTGGGGACCTTATGAGGTCAAGCTGTGGCTTGATGGCTTGGAACCAGCATGGCTCCTGGCCAGCTCGGGGAAAAGCCACCCTGCCCACAGGCACCGGAAGCCATGGTGCTCAGCATCTCCCCAAAAACAGGTCCCAAGAGCCACCCCATAGCTGAAATGCACGCCATGAGGTCCTGCACTGCAGTCCAGCAGGGAGATGGAAACCTCCGTCAGCATCCCCAGCCCTCCGAGGCAGGGAAGCCACTGCGGGTCATTTTGTCAAGTAGCTTGAACGCCTCCAAGCGTGTCTGTGACCCAGACAACATCAGTGCCAGAGATGGGTTTCCAGCACATTTAGTCATGCACCTTCTCCAGCACCTGCCCAGCATCTCTCCAAACATCGACTGCGGAGACCGTAACTGCAGCCACACCAGGACCCTCCTGGAATGGATGGGGCTCCCGGGAGCCTCCTAGCTCCCTGCCTGTCATCCTCCCCATCCCTTGGGGAGATGCTGGGTTCAAAGTGATGTCCCTGCCTGGTGCCCTCGGGGTGGCAGAGCTGACCAGGGTGACGGAGGCTGGAGGTGACCTGCAGCTGCCGGAGGGAACAGCTGGGCTCCGAGCAGAGCAGAGGGATGTCGCAAGGATGGGACGGAAGAGCAAGGAGACCAAGAGAGATTATATCACCCATGCTGCCCACATGGAGACCCCCCAGGTACCTTTGCAGGCCTTGCGGTCTGTGATGGACTTGCTGAGGTCCCGGTAGAAGCCCTCCTTGCAGTAGTGGCAGTGCCGCCCCGCAGTGTTGTGCCGGCAGTTGAGGCAGACGCCGCCACTCTTCCTGCCCGAGAGCTTGTACAGCTCCATGTTGAAGCGGCAGCGCCGGGCGTGCAGGTTGCAGTTGCAGGCTGCAAGGGAAGGGGAGAGGGTGAGGGCTGGAGGCGAAACCTGGGAACCCCCCTGGGTGGGCTGGATCTGCCCCGGTGCCCTCCGCTGTTGCTGGGGGCCAGGGCTGCCTGCGCTGGGGGAGCAGGACGGGCAGGGCAGGGCACGGCACAGCCGGCCCCAACGTGCCATCCAGATGTGCAGCATCCGACGGTGCCGGGAGGTCAGGGCAGAGGAGAAAGGGCATGTGTAGGGACGGGGCACCACTCGGCTGAAGGCAGACAAGTGTGGAATGGAGGGGTGCAGCCGGGGCATCTGGCAGTGCCAGCCGGGCACCTGCAGCCCCACCATCCCCCCTGCCCCTTCCCCGGCAGCTGGCTCCAGTGACAGAGCCCGGCCAGCCTTTCGGCAGGACCACCTGCCTCGTGCCAAGGGGTGCAACAGCATTGCCCCTGCTGCCTCACAGGGTGCCATCCTCAGCGTCAGCAACAGAGCCCCGAAATTCCTTATATTTAAGGCTCTACCCTGTGCATGCATGCGCACACACACAAAGAAGCCCACATAGCAACCCGTGCGTGCACATGCACACGTGTGCACACACAAATATGCACAAGCACACACACAAGCTCATGTGCACATCAGCACGTACGTGTGCACGTGCATACACACAAATGGGCACCTAAACATCCACATACCATTACATGTGCACACATACGTGCACACATGCACGTGCATGCACACAGATGTGCACAGAAATATCCACATACCGTTACACGTGCACACACACAAATCATGCACACAAACATGCATGCTCACATGTGCAAGCATGCACATCCATACACATGCTCACGTGTGTGCATACATACACATGCACGAATATGCACGCACAGATGCTTGCACATGCGCATGCACACATGCACACTACTTTTTCACTAGCCACAGGAACCATGCAGCCCCCCCTGCCCGATTCCACGTGTGCGAGATAAAAAGGCAAAGCAATGCCCGTTCCTGCTTAACACTCTCGCAAAAAGATAATGGGAACAAGATTTCCTTTGGCAAAACGCGGCACCCTCCTCCCCCAGCCCCGGCCCCCTCCCCATGCTGGTAAATTGAGGTTGGGTGAGAGTTTTTCCAGGCGTACTGTGAAATTCATTAACGTGTCAGCCCAGATTTAACTGCTTAGGCCTGGCTTGGCGGTCGTGTGAAGTTGCCTCCCCCCCGGCCGGCACAGCGCCGGTGGGAGCTTCAGTCCGCGCAGATCAAACGCTCCCTCGCCTGCCTTGTTGCTCCGGCCTCAGAGACGCTGGGGGAAGAAAGCCGGAGCAAACCCCAACCCTAAAAAAGGGCCTTTTCGGAAGCTTAAATGATTTGAGCAAAAGGTTGGTGCCAGCCTCAGTGCTGCCGGCACCACGTGCTCAAACCCCAGCTCCCCCCGGAGCTCCCCTGCGTTATGAGATTAGTGTAAAAATCACATGGCAGGCATCAAAATAACACTTGGGCATGGCGGTAGGTGCCTATGGGGGCTTGTGCCTTTTGAGCTCATTTTTTTTCCCCGGTGCCGGTGAAAAATAGGGACTTTGGAGGCAAATTCTGACACAGGGCTAAGTGCTGGGATGCGGCACCTGGAGGGAGAGCAGCAGATACTGCCCGTGGTCCCAGGCAGCCTAGGATGCTGCTGTGCCAGGGATGCCGACGCTCGGCCAGGCTTTGCTGGGGCCAGGAGAGATGCGGTGAAGAACCCCAACATGCAGGCTGCTCTTGCAGTCACCAGATAACGGGACAGGCACAAGCCGGGGTGGTTCATGCCACTGAACTGAGGCAGACACACATCGGCAAAGGAGCAATTGTTGGGAGGCAGAGAGGCCTTGTTATTCCCTTGCATCACTGAAAGACCAGTTGGGTCACCCCAAAAGGCAGCTTTGCTGTCCCACTGGGCATGCTCGGGGCTGCCCCCGCGAGCCCCCGGCTTCCTCTGGGGAAGGAGAGGGGACGGCAGCCCAGAGGGGAGGCGATGGGCAGCAGAGGAGAAAGGTCAGGTAAATGATTCGCCGCCCTCAGCGCGGGTCCCTCTCTGCCTCCAGTTTAATTGGTGAGAGAGTAACTGGCCGGGGCCTTTTCACGGCATCACCGACCCTGCCGTGGGCTGAGGGCCCTCCTGGCTGGCACGTCCCCGTCAGCCCCGGGGCCACCTTTCCCTGGGAACATGCTGCAGATCCTCCCGAAGCTGGCTTTTGGGGAGAAACCTCCTCTTGCTGCCCAGCACCGTGCCCTCTGCCTGCAGGCAGCGACGCTGAACGCTCTGGGTTGTTGCTCCCAGCCCGGGCTGGGTGTCAGCAAACTGCCGCCAGCTTAGCAGGAGCCAAGCCGAGATTTTGGTGTGATCCCGGCCAGACGACATGGGGACCTGGCTGGGCTTGGCCACGCTGGGATGGGTGGCTGTCCCCTGCTCGGGGACAGGGTCACACCAGCACGCGTGACCGTCCCCTCACCCCCCCGGCGCAGCGATCCAGCGCTAATCGGGGCAGACGGGTCCCCCTTCTTACCCGGCTAAATACTTGCACTGTTCCTCAGTGCTGACTTGGTTGCAAGCTCTGTCTGTCTCCCGTTAATCACTAATTAAAGGCTTGAATGTTCCCTGCTGTTTGGGGTATTAATAAGAATTTAATTGCACAGTTTGGGGCTAATTACGTGGTAGCTTGCTTCCGCCCTTGTACAGTATGCCCAATTAAACAATCATATGATCAATTAAACAATCACAAGATCTAATAATTTGCAATAATAGACTAATTAAACATCGACTCCTTGCAATGGAGTAACCTTCTGTCCCCCTTTTGATGGTGTTTGAACCCCTGCCCAGGTCCTGGCCGCCCCACAACCTCTTCTGCTCTGGGCTGCTCTGGATGGAGGAGCCCGGGGCAATGGCACAAGGGGCTTTGGGGCAGGGACCCCACCACAGGACGGGCAGTGCCGTGCACCGGGGCACACGTGTGGCAGGCAATGGAGCCTGTGGGACAGGAGGGGGGCTCGCTGCCCCTACAAGTTCCCTGGGAATAATTAGTGAAGGCAGCTGGCTCAGTGAAACCCTAGACTGGCCGGTGCTGCCAACCCACAGCGGATTTGAGCTACGCCCCTGCTTTGGCTGTAGGAGAGCCCGGCTGGGACAGCGGGGCAGGATGGGGCTGCACCTCCACCCCAGGACGGGAACCGAGACCAGAAAAGCCCCTTCCCTCCCATCCGCACTGTCCCTCCATCATGGGGAAGGTGTTTGGAGAGAGGGGCCAGGGCTTACACCTCTACTGCCAAGAAGCAGGAGGAAAAGCAGAAGCGAAGAGCCCTCCCCGAGGGGCTGCGAGCTGAGAACAGCGGTGCGAAGGACAAGGCTGAGCCGCTCCAGCCCCATCCCGGGAGGAGCAGGACTCAGGATGGTCAGACAAGTTTTAATCCCCTCCACCACGGTGGCTGCCTCCCCCCTGCAACCCAGATCTGCTGGGATGCTGCACCCCATGGGGAGCAGGTGCCCAGGCAGGGGTGGCAGGGGGATGCTGCCCACTTGCGCACCTCCAAAAGCCATCGCCTACCCCGAACCACTCCCCCCTGCTCTCCCTGGGGAAGGACTGTGGCTGGCGCTGCTGGGAACCCGCCGGTTCCCAGCACATCTGCCGGGGAGAGGGTGAGGAGCATCCCGCTGCGGGGGATGTGGCAAGGGAGGGGGCTGCAGATGCAACTGCCAACAGGCCACCAGCAACACAGATCCTGCTCCACGGGGTACAACAGCCCAGGCCAGCTCACTGGGGGATTTCTGAGATAATTTTTGCATGGGAAGCATTGAGATAGAAAAAGAGAGCAAACATACAGGAAGGGGCAGAGGACACAGGGGAAGCACATGGGATCCTCTAAATCCCATCACCGCTCTGGGAATTGGTGTTTTCAGGCACTGGCATCCCCGATTGATTGCCACAGCCCCCCAGCCCGAAGCGGAGGGAGCAGCAGCCAGCAAGGTCTTCCCAGGAGAGCGCAGCCCCTTCCCTGCCGAGCCCCCCAGATCAAAGCGAGCCCCATGCATTATCCCGGTGCTCTGGGGAGCGCTCCCGCAGCGGCGGCCACAAAGGGAACAAGAGCTCCCGCATTACCAGCGAGTGCATCAATTACTTCCAGTGGCTGCCTTGTGCTAATCCGCTTCCCCCCCTTCCCCAGGCCGGGTGTTTCAGGGACAGCTTGCCGAGGGGGTGACCGGGCTGCCCCGAGCAGCTCCACGTGTGCAGGCAGGGACCAGCAGCGGCGGTGGGAAGGAGGAGGTGTGAGTCTGCAAGAATAAAGCTGATGCATCACCTGGGGGGGCTCAGGATTTCAGCAATCGTGCTTCCACTGGCTGCTCTGCCAGGATTATCCTTCACTGAGCCTGACCCAGGCTAAAAGCTGGGGGACACACATGGATGGGGACACGTCTCTCTCTTTCCTGCCCTTCTCTTTCCCCTGTTTTGGGCAGGGCACACCAGAGGGTACACAGAGCATCCCATTATTGGCAGGGCAAGCTCCCTGCAGGACACGCAGCCCTTTTGGGGTATCGGGAGAGCCCCCTGTGCCCATGGACCAATGGCACCGCTCTCTAACCACCAGGCACAGGGCCACGCACCCTGCGGCACGGAGCTGGCACCATGCCCTCTTGCCAAGTCGGCAGCGTGGCAAATCCACTGTCACCGTCCTGACTGCAACATCCCCAAACCTGCCTGCTTGCCAAAGTCATGCTGACCCCCGTAACACTGCAGCATGGCGATGTCCCCACGAACGCAACGGCCACCCTACGGCAGCCGTGGTCGGGTCACGCCCCATGCCGATGCTCAGACCTCAGGCGTCACTGGGCTGTTTCACCTCTGCATTTCCCCATACCAGCTAGAGGCAGAAATTCTTGTGAAATAAGCAAGGTTTGTCCTCACCTCCAACTGCGTGGATGGATGTCCCAGCACCGTGACATGGTGCAGGACACCAATTTGTCCCCATGCCGGAGCAGGCAGAGACTCCCGTGCACTGGAGGGGGACAAACCCCCACACAGGGCGCTGGGGAGCACAGAGCCAAGAGGTGACATCCCAACACGACCTGAGGCTGTACCAGCCCCGTGGCTCCATCCAGATCCACTTTTGGGGTGCTGCAGCCCCCTGACCCTGACCCTCAGCCGGCACTGGGCTGCCAAGCTCCTGCATCCATCCACCCTCCTCCTCACCGCTGCCTGGCCATGCATGACCATCCACCACCACAAGCCAGCATTACCAATGCCAGGCCGCAGGACCAGAGTCCGAAACCCCGCAGCCCCTGGGCTGAGCAAAGGGAACTTCCCGGGCGGCCTCTCCTTTTAATTGGTGCTAATTGCTGCGTCTGTTCGTGCTGGCTGGGGAGATGTCATTGTTGAAAGGCACAGAGGGGAAGGCTCGGGGAGCTAATCCAGCTTTCAGCCACTAAGCCCTTCGGAGGCGGGCGATGGAGAAGCTCTTTCAGGTCCCTTCAGAGAGGGCACAAAGCCCAAGAGGGGAAAGGGAGAAAGAAGGGGAGCGAATCAACAGGAAAAACTACTTTCACACGCAGCTCGGGGAAGGGTCTTTGTGCTTGGGGCTTGTCAGGGGGGAGCTTGAAGGGACCGCACCACACCCCCACCTCCTCTGCTCTCCCTCGTTTATCTTTTCAGCCCCATCTGCCAAAAGGGTGACGCAGCTGGGGACAGGGATGCTCAGGAGCACGGCCTTGCAGAGTGGGACCCTCACCCTGCGATGGACAAGATGTACAGACAGACAGGAGATCTGCAGATGATCCCCCAAAATGAGCTTACTCCGGTTTAACCCCTTTTGTGCTGGTAGGGCCACCTCCACTGTCATCACGCTGCTTTACCAGAGGATTTGGCAGCAAGGAGGATGCGGCGTGGGGTGCCACAAGGGAGGAAGCCATCGGTTCGGGGTCCTCCTTTTGTCCCAGGGGGTTTCCATGGGTTCACCCACCAGCCAGAGCCCTCCCCTGCCTGACCTGCCAGCAGCTGGAGAGAGCAGCCGTGGGCAGGGTGTGGATTTGAGGGTTTGGTTTTTTTCCCCCGAGCTTTGCTCCAAAACTTTGCTCTGAGACAAGCGGGAAAGTGCGAGGGCTGACACATTCCCACAGGGCGTGAGGTGGTTTAAAGCATCGGCTCCGGCACTTGCTTTGAATCTGCTGCCTTTTTAGCCATTCTTAGAAGAAATCTGCTGTAACATACATATATTTAAGCCGACAGCTGGGATCTCAACAAGACATCGATCACAAACACTAACAAGTCCCTCTGACCTCTGGCACATCCACTGAGCCTTTCAGGGGTTGATTAATGGTACGGCTTTCCGTTGTCTCCATCCTCCCGCCACCCCCTGGGACTTGGGCTCTGGTCCAGGAGGAGCGAGAGGCTGTTCCTCCCTCTCCCAGACCTTCACAGGGCTCTGGCATCCCCCAACCACATCCCAAATCAGGACAAAAGGCAAAAACCTCCACCAAAATCCCACAAAGATTCACGAGTGGGACAACCAAGCGATGCCAGTTTGACGTTTTGGAAATGTTTCATTTCGATGACAATATTTTTAACTCATGGAAACCTTCGTAAGGACAGACAAGCTAAAACCGCCACGCAAAGTGCCATGCCAGACTGAACACAAATGATAAAATGTTGAATTGGGGTATCTCAAGTATTTCCTTAATCTCTGCCAGGTTTTGCTGCCTGCTCCCTGCCCCAAAGCACATCTGGCAGGGGACCGCCATGACTCCCCCTCCCAGCCCAGGGACAGCTGGTTTGCTGCCCAAGGGAAACACCCCCAGCCAGGCATTCCACATCCCACACTGATGTTTGCTGATGAACTGGAAGACACCGGTGATTTTTTGGAGGGTTTTGGTGCTTTGGCTCATGGCCACACCACACTACCGCACCTCCGGAGGGGCATCCGCAGCAGGGACAGGGCAGATGCTTGAGCCCTTCCCAGCCCTCCAGCGAGGGGGATGCTCCCCAGCATCTCTGGACAAGCACACTCCATTGCTTCAGCTCAGCACCCATCACTTCCTCCCCCAATGACCTGCTTTGCGGTTTCAGCCCCGGAAAAAAAAATATTTAAAAATCACTTACCCAGACACTCGTTGGCCTCACGGGCGCTGGCCCGCTGCCAAGGCCGGTCGTAGTGGAAGGGCTTGCAGCGGTCGCACTCGGGACCCTCCGTGTTGTGCTTGCAGTCGCACACCAGCTTCTGCTCCTTGTCCTTCACGCAGCGCGCCGCATGCCCATTGCACTTGCAGCGCCCGCCGACCTGCAGCTCCCCCACCGCGTAGTAATAGGGGGTCGAGCCGGTGCCACCCTCTTCCTCACCACCATCCCGACCACCCAGGTCACGGAAGAGATGGGGGCGGCTAAAGACCACGCGGATGTCAGTGGCCGTCACCCAGTCCTGGAGCACGGGGCTACTGTCGAAGTCCTGGGCGGAGGGTCGCCCGTCGAGGGTGCTGAAGGCAATGAGCCCACCGGTGAGGGGGTAGAGGTCGGTGAGGCCATCAGTGCAGAGGGCCTCCTGCTCGTTCTGCTTGGTGACGGTGGCTTTGCTGGGCTTGCCGTAGATCTTACGGCACTGGGAGGAGTAGTACTGGTATGGCACCCAGGTCTTGCCGTAGTCCATGGACTTGAGGATGGCGGTGGACTCAGGCCGGGGAGAGCAGAACTGGAGGCTGACGTAGACCACCTCGAACTTCTTGCCGAGGGAGAGGGTGAGGGTGACGTTCTGGGGCGAGTGGTGGAGAGTCTCCGAGCGCCAACATGTCATGTTGGAGGCGGTGTTGAGGTCGGTCAGGTAGGCAGGCGGGTGGGCTCGGCGGGGGTCCGAGGCATTGCAGTGCCGTGTCGGGGGCTTCCCACACGTGCTGGAGGCTTGAACCTCCTTCCCGAAGGCAGCGTTGACGAATTCAGGGATGCAGCGGCGAGGAGCGCCGCTCTCATCGTAGCAAGGGTCTGGGGGGGTCTGCTGGGCCACGAAGGGGTTCACTGTCTGGGAGAGGCCCAGCATGGCGGTGGTGAGGAGCAGGCGCAGGAGCTGCAGGACCTCCATCCTCCCGGGGTGAAGGAAGCGGCTCCTCCCTGGGGCAAGAGCAAAGAGAGTGAATGGCACTGGCAACCCTGCCAGGAGCGGCAAAGCCGCAGCACTGCCCATGCAGGGAGGCTGGTAAGGGATGGGGAACACCCCCACGTCTGGCCCTCGACCTGTGCATGCCTTCCCACCCCACATCTACTGATGCAGCATCCTGGGAGCGGGGCAGGGAAGCGATTACTTTGCGGTGCCTTATGCACAGCAATCCCTCGCCGCTCGTCAGCAGGAGTGAAATACTGTGGGAAATGGCAGAAAGAGCTGAGCTTTGGAAGGAGGAGGTTGAAAGCAGGGTCCAGCCCTTCCCTGGCTTCTTACGAACTGTCTTGGGGGCAACAGGAACATTCACGCCTGCCAGCAGCCCTGGCTGTCACACACAGCTCAGAGACCCCCATCACCACACAGCTGCTGAGGAGAGGTGGCAGGGAAGAGCTGGGGAGACCTTTCAGCTGTGACAGTAGCTGCAAAACCCACCTTATCCAACCGCAGCCTGAAACAGCTCCTGCCAGTGTGGGAGAAAGGAGCAGCAGCAAAAACACCTTGTGGGATGTTTTGCAACAGGCAGGAGCTCACCAGGATGAAGCCCCAGGGCTCAGCCAGGGCTGGCACCACTTTCCCTGCCATGCCACAGCCCCGGCAGCATCCTGCTGGCCACGGACACGGTGGCTTCTCCAAGCCAGGGGCTGGATCCCCTCCAAATCCCGGTGCCACGCTACCCGTGTATTCCCCCTGGCAAAGGGAGGTTATTCTGGCCTCACCCCCAAGAAAACCAGGTTTGGGTCTAGCCTGTCTGTTAATGGAGGGAAAAGCAAGGGCCAAATGCAGGACTTGGCTGGGCTCCTCTCCCGGCAGCCACAGCACAGGGCCAGGGGACGCTGGGTGGCTTCCAGGGGACATGGCCCATCTCCCACGCCACTGACTTGTAGGGTGGAAGAGGGACTGGAGGTCACGTCCCCTCCCACCGGCTCTGCCTGCAGCAGGAGCATCCTGCAAGATGCGGATCAGCCACGCCCCATCCTGAGCATCGTGCGAGCAGCCACAGCTCACACATTCACTGGAGAACGTCCCTGAGCGCTGCAGTTGGCGGTAGACCCCTGAGCTGCCCGGCTGGGCCGATGGCATCAGCCCTGCCATCCCACGTGCTTGGCTGGAGGGACTGTGCTGAGCGCTGCCCGCCCCAGCCACCAAGCCGGGTTCTCTGGCCTCTACCAGCCCATACCACGGCCAGGGCAGGTGGAGGGGATCCCCCCATCGTCCCCTCTCCCACTAGTAAATCCTTACGGGATGACTTGGGTTTTGCACTTCACCCTCAGGAATGAAGCCCAGTGCCAGCAGCACAACCCAGAGTGGCAGATGCTCTGCTCCCCATCTACAGCCCCCAACACTGCTCCTGCCTGTCCAGCTGCCCACTCCGGCCAAAGGAGGCTGGCAGGGGACAGCCCGTTTCAAATGATCCGGGATTTTGGTTGGTTTTTTTTTTTCCCCTTTTGCAAAAAAAAACAAAACCAAAAAAAAAACCAACAAAAAAACCCCAAACACAAAAACGACCCGTGGCTGTGGAAGAAAGCTGCCTCTCTCCGGGCTGCCAAACCGCTAATGGGGGGAAGCTCCTCCCTTCCCAGCCAGGCTCAGCCGGGCAGCCAGCGCCAGAGCCCATGCCCGCTGAGTGGGGAGCGGGGACAGGGGGCTCAGCCCATCCCTGGACATCTCCCCCAGGACAAATCCTAGCCCTGCCACCTCCGTGCTGTTTCCTCACTGCTTAATCCTCTGCTGATGGGAAAGGAGATGCTCACTGCTGAAAAATCAGCGGCTCCCTTGGTGGTCTCTCCATCGCCCCAGCAGCACATCCCCCGCTATCCGGCAGTGCTGCAGAGCCTTTCGGGGACACGCCAGCCCATGGCTCGGTGGCTGGGCAACCGTCAGGCAGCAAGACAAGGGATGCTGTCCCTGGGACACGTGGAGCACTGGGAACCCCCGACTCGAGGGGCACGGCATGCAGGCAAGGGCTGTGGAAGTAGAGAGGGGAGCAGCAGGGACGTAGCAGTCACCGCAGCGAAGGAAGCACCGTGTCGCAAGCACCAGGCTGTGAAGAACATCCCCTGCTGCAGGCAGCCCACAGGGCTCTGTCGGGAACCCCGGCCCCACTGCAGGCAGCTGCCTCCCAGGCAGGAGGCAATGCCGCGGCTGCTGCAAGCTCCCCAGCGTCTGCCTGTCCAGGAACCGTTGAGTGAAGACAGCGCCTGGTTAATCCCCCCCAACGCAATCCTGACGGGACCATCCCCAGCACCTGCCCGGTGCCGAGCAGCGAGACAGAGCCCCTGCCAGCCCACAGGCAGAGCCCTGCTCCTGTACTCACACCCAGCACAGCAGGCTGCAAAATGCTGACGGACGCCCTGCAATGCCCAGCAAGACCTGGCCACGCACATACCTGCAGACACCCAGCACAGCTCCTTCAGTCCTGTGATGCTGCCAGCTCGCCCATCATCCCTATCCCACCGCACACCCCACAGAGAGGTGCAGCCACCACCACCTCGCATCCCACCAGCCCCGGGGCAGCAAGTAGCATGGGGACAACCCTGTGGGAAGACCTCTGCACTGGGAGGAGAGAGGAGAAACCCCCAGGGATGCCTCAGCAGCTGCATCCATCCACCCCAGGGCAACTCAGGGCGTATCGAACAAGGCTAAACCCTGCCAAGGAGAGATCTCCACCCTCCACCTCCTCTCTGCCACATGGCAGCAAGGGGACACAAATAGGGCCACGCTCAGGTGTGCCACCTGCAAAGGCCTTTTAATTCCCCGTTTGGTAAGACGTGAAGGTGTTGGTAAAACCCTGCCCAGGGAAGAGAGACAGCACCAGCACCCAACAGCAGCAAGGGGAGAGCCCAGAGGCGAAGGTGTTATGAGCAGGGCAGGAGCAGCAGGTCTAGGACCTGGGCCGGGGTTACCGCTGCTTTTGGAGTGCATGGGGGGAACGAGCACCTCCTGCCCGCCCTCCCTGCCCTGATGGGAAACTCTGTCCCTCCCACCAGCCATACAAAAGCACAAGCCCAGAGATTCAGTGCCCAACTTTCAGGGGCTCTGCTCCTGCCGGGGAGCAGCCGCCAGGGAGCCAACGCTCGCCCAGCGGCGCATCAGCGCTGCGGAGGCAGGGCATGAATGGAAATCATTATCATCCGTGAGACCACACACAGGCACGCACGCTCCGCGCTCGGCTCACCCCATTATCCTGCTGAAAGAGAGCCGGGGCCGGTGGTCTCCGCAGGCCTCACCTCCGTATCAGAGAGGAGGGCAAGCTGCAATCTGCTCCCTTTTATGCATATTCAGTGTGACCCCGGGACTGCCGGCAAGCTGCCAGAGAGGCCCGGGAGTGGGTATTTCTCTCCCCGGCCCCCATCTGCCCCCCCTTTCCACTTCCCATCTTCACTGCCCCCAGTTCAGATCAAATGGCGACGCTGCTGACTAAGCAGGGAGCGATGGGACGAGCCCCTTGGCGCCAAATCCAGCCCAGCACTTGCCTGGATCCAGCATAAGGAGGGACATAAGCGATGGGGCACATCTCCCAGGGACAGCATCCCAAAGGTGTCCCCAGCGAGCCTCTCGGGTGGCCGCCAGCTCCCGGCCGCCAGCAGCACCCATGAGGCTGGGGGGATGTGGCGGCAGGGCTCACCCTTCCCGAGGAAGCGGCCGCCCTCCCGGCTCCTCCCCAGAAGTGGCTGCATTTTTGAGGTGGGCGATTTCCTCACTCCTCCGCTCGGGGAATGCTAACAGCCGTGCGGTTTGGAAGGAAGTCACGCCGCTGTAGTGCTTCAGAAGTGCTTTAAAAAAAAATTAGCTACCGCATCCAATGTGTCCACACCCCTTCTCCCTACAGCAACATGCTTCCCAAGGCGACCAGCAGCATTTCCCCGCCTTGTGGGAGGCTTGTCGGGGAGATGCTCCAGCCCACCATGGGTTCCCCTTCCCATCGCCTTCCCAGGAGGCAGTGTTGCTGAGAGCTATGCTGGGCACAGATGCATGCTCAGAGCTCCAGGTCTCCCGATACCAAGCCATCAGGTGGGTGCTTGCTCCCCAAAGCACGAGGCAGGTGCAGCACATGAGCCAGGGCAAAGAGAGCAAACTTCCCCAAATACAGACGCTGGTGCCTACAGCAGGCCCAGGGTCATCACCCAGCAGACCAGGGGCAGCGGCAGCTTTGCAGAGGTAATTACAGGATTAAGTGGAACAACACGGGACGTGGAGGAAAGGGGGTTATTAGCCAGATTTGATCCCAGGACCTTTGCGGCCCGGGAGCAGCTTTCTCTAATTAAAGCGGAGGGGGAAGGAGTGAGTGGCCCGAGCAGTTCCTCACCGTCTGCTGCAGCCCTGCCACCAAAAAACATGGGTTTAGAGAGCAGGCGATGGCTAAAGCTGAGCAGCCAGCACTGCCTGGGAGGGGAAGGGGAATGCCCCAAGGGATGGCACAGAAATGGTGCTTCCCTCCTGCCAGGGACCTGCGCTGCTCCCCCGGGTCCTCTCCGATGTTGCTGGCACGGTGCAGCGGGCTGGGTTTCTCCTCTGAGCCAGGGCAGCACAGTATACGGGGTGCTCACATCACCCTAGGAAAGCACATGGCCTTACTTGGAGCTGGTTGAGATGGGGATGCCTGGTTCCCACGAGGTGCTGCATCACCCTGTGCACAGGGACAAGGTCCTGGGTGCCAGCAAGGGGCAGGGATGTAGCCACCCACCTGCATTGGTCACCAAAAGGCTCGTGGCATGGCACGGAGCTGGTTAGATGGGGATGCCTGGTTCCCACGAGGTGCTGCATCACCCTGTGCACAGGGACAAGGTCCTGGGTGCCAGCAAGGGGCAGGGATGTAGCCACCCACCTGCATTGGTCACCAAAAGGCTCGTGGCATGGCACAGCTGTGGAGCAGTGGGCAGAGAAACCCCAGGCAAGGACCAAAGGACCAAAGTACTTGAGGGGAT